GAGATAAGAGGGGGGAGGGGAGGGGTGGGGGGGAGAGAGACAGACAGACAGGCAGAGACACCAGGAATTAGATTCTCATAAGGAGTATGCAACCTAGAACCCTTGCAGGCTGGGTCCATAATAGGGCTGGCACTCGTATGAGAAGCTAATGCCACTGCTCTGACAGAAGGCTGAGGTCTGCTCGCTGGCTCACTGGACCTTCTGCTGTGTGGCTTGGTACCTAACAGGTACCAGTCCACAGCCTGGGGGTTGGGGACCCCTGCTCTACAGCACATTTACCAGCTAATAAACATATATATATATTTTTTGAGTTGGAGTCTCACTCCATCACCCAGGCTGGAGTACAGTGGCACATTCACGACCACTCCAGCATCAACACACTGGGCTCTGGCGATCCTTCCACCTCAGCCTTCCAAGTAGCCGAAACTACAGGCACGCACTACTATGCCCGGCTAATTTTTGACTTATTGTAGAGACGAGGTCTCGCCAAGTTGCCTGGGCTGGTCTTGAACCCACCGGCTCAGGCAATTCACTCGCCTCAGCCTGCCAAAGTGCTGGGATTATATGCTGAGCCATCGAGACCCGCCATAAACATATAATTTTTAGGCCCCATTTTAAGTCAGGCATGAAGGGAGGAGACACTGAATGTGGAAGATTAGGAATCACAACTGGAAAAAAATCACGGGAAGCGATATAGCTTCCTGCTTACCCTCAGCTGGATAAGCATGCCCTCACAGCACACTCTACCAGAACACCACAGGTTGTAGATATGCTCATTCTCCTGGTTCAGCTTTCCTGTGCTTGTGGCTTCTTTGTTAGTTCCATCATCCCCTGGGGGCAAAACCACTTAAGGTGACTCACTGAAAACTCTTAAACCCAACCCCCATAGCCTGCTCTACCCTCTCCCCAAAATGATCACAGCTTTAGGGTATCAATACTATGCTATCTTAAAAAACTCTCCTTGGAACAAGGATAAAATACCCTGGCGTCATTCTTTTTACTCTTAAAACTCTTTATTACCTCCATAAATAAAAGTATAAACCTGTTAGTTTAATGATGACCGCATGGAGCTTAAATTTCTTAGAACGCATACAAACTAGTCACTTCTCCACTGCGTCTCCTATGAATCAACTTCAGTCAATGTTTCTTTTCCAATAGCGAAATCATGACTGGGTGTCAATCACTGGTATCAAGAGCTGGATTTTAGATCTAGAGAAAGCTCAAATTCCGATTTCTCCCATTTAATTCAGTAAGTGCACAAAAAAAACTGTTCAACCTCTCAAGGTTGAGAGACACCAAATGAAAACAGCAAGGAGAAGTGGAAGCAGCCAAAGGCGGCTGGATCTCCTCTGATCTCCTGGTCCCAACGTCCTCTGAAATACAAAGGTGCAGTGGAGAGCACATGGCCGCTGAAAATCAGTGGACAGGTGCTAGTCTCTTGGCTGCAATTTAGTAGCTTACAGCTTTAACCTATAGTGTTCAGTTCCACCTATAGTGTTGTTGTAAGAGTAAGTAAGAAACAATGTATGCAAAGTACCTAGCACAATACAGAAACATTGGTGTGTTGACAGCAGATGGATGCATGCTTACTTTTAAAGAAAAACAAACAGGTATGTGCATACTATTAAAGAGAAAGTACTAACTGCCAAGCAGGGGGGCATGTCAGGCAAGCCCACCTCACTCCCTACACTACACAAACACAGAGGGTCCTCTAGGACTTCAGTGCATGCCTTGTCAGTGAAACTAAAACCAAAGTGCCCAGCATATGGGGCAATTCTGAGGGACGGCCAATGTCTAAAAAAAAAACAAAAAAGAACCGAAAGCATTTATCGAACCACCTATAATATCAACATTCTTTGTTTGAGCCAGAATTTTATCAACTTGTTTTGGAAACACTCAGAAGCTGTATAGCAATTACACTGCTGATTGATGAAAGATAAGAAAACTTAATAGACATGTAACCTATTCAGTATGAAAACCTAAAAAAAATGAAATCCTTCATGAAAAACACAAAAAACAACACAGCCCTTTCAGCATTCCATGAAAGCAGTTAGATGCTTATTTGGAGGGAAATAGATTGTCTTTGTTTTCAAGCAGGAAGCTGGAAGTACACTGGCCTAACTTACCCACCAAGGTAAAGTTGCTCTCCAAAAGTTCTCTGTGCGTGTTAAACCAGGCCTGAGCAAGGCGACTATTTTTATTCTTCCCAATGATATAATTCATGATATAGGCAAGGAGACCAGTCACCATCAAAATTTCCAGATAGTAGCTCTCCCAACTGTTCTGGAGGTGTGCAGGAACCTAGAGAGGCAGAACATTCTGTTTGATGCTGACTGAGGCCAAAAGATGGGACAAAGGATGAGATAACCCATCAACAGGAGTGGACACATAACATAACGGTCACTGAACACGGCCATACTTTGAAAAACATGCCCATTTTAGCTTCAGCTCTATAAAAGATTCTTCAAGGAAATGTAAAGACAATCAAACACGAAGAAAAGCTGGAAAGTCTTTTGTCTTAAGGTCCTAAGTCCCATCCCAAAATAAACCCAAAGTACTACTGCAGATCCTCTTACTTATTCCTTGATAGGAAAACTAACAGGGCTAGAATACACCATAGGGGCGCTTCCTAGGTGTACATTTTAATCAGTGAACTGATACCAAGCTCCCTCCCAGCGCCTACGATTACATCAGCACCAGCTCTATGTCACTTATGTCTCTGGGATTAACGACAAGATATTCTGTTGACTGAGATTCAGAATTCTGTATACCTACATCAACAATTGTTATTGGGTCTTTAGTTTTGCTAGAAGTGTCTGGTTTGTCTTCATAACCTTCGAACTCTTCATCATCATATGGCTCACTCTCGGTGTCTCCTTCCTACAGAAACAAGGCACTGTTTTCCTCTACAAATGTCACCTGTGGCTGTGTCTCATTTCATTGGCAACATTTGCAGGGGACAAGAGAACATGGAAGCAGCAAGCACAGGACTTAGAGATACAACAAACGATTAATAAAATGATGGAAGGGTGCAAATTTCGGTTTAAGATGAATAAACTCTGGAGACCGCATGCACAGCACGGAGACTGCAGCGAATACTCAGGGATTACATACTTGAAGCCGCAGAGAAGGCAGACCTTAAGCTTCCTCACTCCCCCTTCCCATGGGCAACCATGTGAGGTGACGGGTATGTTAATTAGCTTAATTGTGGTAAACATTTCACAATATCACAATACCATGTTGTGCACCTTAAAAACACACACTTTTTGTCAACTATGCCTCAACGAAGCAGGGGGTGACTCCTGTGCTTTTGAACCCTGAGTTCTAAATGACACAATTCTCTCGGACACACACCAACTATTCTCCAGCCCATCCCCCAGTCAGGGTTTCAACAGAAGAAAAAAGCACAACCCATGCTATCAGTGTAAAAGGTGGGAACACACCACAAAACATTGAGAAGAGCTCTAACTACTGAACAAAAATGAAGAATCCAGAGAGTAAAGGTCTCCCTAGACCCGGGTCTTGCTTTTCAGAGTTAAGAAAAATGACAGCGACAGGCTTCCCCAAGAAATCAACGAAAAAGAACCTCACCTGGGTATCAGCACCTTCAAAATCTCGCTCTTGGTTTGCGTCCGGCCCTTCCAGCTCTACCACGGCCTCATCTTCATCGTCTTCGGTGGTCATCGCCCGCTGAGGAGGTTCAGCAACAGAATCTTCCATGACATCCTCAAATTCTGCAAAGTCATTATCATCATACTCCACGATGTCTTCCTCATCCTCAAAATCATCAAACTTGGCTTCAGAGAAACTTCCAAGCACCAACAGGACGACACAGAAAGCATGGAAGGCTTTCATTGCACCTTAAGAAAAAAGCTTAAAAAGAATAACCCCAAAGTGGATTGTGATTCTTCTATATATACTGATCAGATAATGTAAATAACTCAAAGAAATATATAAATCTACCAACCTCTCCTGCTTTTCTCTTATTCAACAATCTTCTATTTAGATCACATTATGTAAAGAACAATGAAGGGAGGTCAAGAGCTTGGTTCTAGTCTGAATCCTGGCACTAAATAACTGTGAAATCTTGGACAAGTAATTTCATTACTTTAGGTTGGGTTCTCTAAAGTTCTCTTTCCATTTACACTGAGTACTCAATAAGTATTTTTTGAGGGCCTATAAAAAGCTTTCTGTACTAAGAAGGGGTGCAATGAAGCAATAAGATATAACTATTGACCTGTTAGTGGCAACAAGAACAATCCATGAGCAGAAAAGCCACTCATCCCAAGATCAACTTTGAGAACATCATTACCACTGTAAGCAAACACTCAAAAGACTAAGTGCTAGATAGCACTGTTCTCGAGGTTTTACAGAAAGCAACTAATTTAACCCTCATAAGGGCCCTCTAATTAGGAAAAGCAGTAATATTAACACTCCCCTTTCCCAGATAAGGAAAGTGAGGCACGGAGTTAAGTGACACAACTACCAAGTGACACGGGGCTGTGATGTGAGCCTAGAGTTTGCCTGTAGAATAAATGCTATGAACCACTGCAATTTAGTGGCTGTGATTTTATATGACTTAGCAGTGGTCATTTTCTGCTGCTGAATCATTCCCGGTGTGTAGGATAGAATTTAATACATCAGCATTTTATAGCCTTCTGAAGAACACTAAGCACGCCAACATCTGAATAAGCCCTTGAACAAATATAATAAAAGCATATCCATGACAAAAAATGTGCCAAGGCATATGAAAATATGGAAGACAGTGTAATTATTTTACCAAACAGGCAAGGTTTCACCAAAAAGGGGCAAACACCTGAGGTGGAATTGGGAGAGTAGACTCCCACCATCAAAACCACCTAGGCTGCCCTTCCAGTGCTGCCGCTTACCTACACACCAGTCCAATGCCATCAATGGACTTACAGGCGTGTCTGATTTGATGCCCTCCCAACCTTTTCTGTATCTGCTAAGACGGTAAATATTTTAGGCATTGTGGGGCACACACTGGCCTCTGCTGCACATTCTCCTTCATTTCAAATAATCTTTAAATATGTAAAGACCATTCTTAGCCCACAGGCCACCTCTCAGGCTGCAGTCTGCTGACCCATGCTCTCTAGTCATTGCAAAATCAACAGGTATCTGAATGTCTCTATTTATTTATTTATTTATTTAAAGCATATTGAGACAGGGTCTTGCTATGTTGCCCAGGCTGGTCTCAAACTCCTGGCTCAAGTGATCCTCCAGCTTCTACCTCCCAAAGTGCTGGGATTACAGGAGTGAGGCACCATGCCTGGCATCCTATTTTTACATCAGTGTCAATCTTTTTCCTAGTCTTCACTGTTGAAAAAACCAAGATATTCAATTTCTTACTTTGCCTTTGAAATGGACTCAGTCATCATATCCTGATGTTTACTTTGATCCCCGAAGCCACCATAATCCCAGTCTCCCCCACCTGCTGAGAAACCACAGTTTTATCCTAAATGGTCTCCCCATCTCACCTCTCCTCACTTCTCCCTAAAAACCACCACCATCTTTCTTTAACACAACTTTTGTTACATAAGGATTCAATAATCATTAATGGCTAACAAATTACTGTAAAATAATACTATGCCAAGACAAATAGTTATGATTGCTAAATAAATCATAAACTTGCACAGGAATTCAGCTTCAAGGATATGTGTTATATTACTTATGACAGTGAAAATGTTAAGATGACTTAGTTAAACCATAGGTGTATCCAAAAACAATGCCACTTCTTGTACATTAAAAATTGTTATAATGAAGTTAGAATCCATATTGTTTTAGAAACATATGCACATAAAGAAAGCTTCAGAAGGACATACGGCCATATATAAATAGTAGTTCATTCGCATGGTAGAATTATATGTATTTTGTCTTTTCTTTCTCTCTATATTTTCCTAGTTCTTTATGATGTACTTTTGTAATTAAAATTAATAGTTTAAAAAAAAATAAAAGCATGGTCCCTGCACTTGAAAAGAGGCACGGCAGTCTGAGAACAGGTATGGCACAGAGGCCTGAAATGGCTATTTTAGGAGTCTGGCATAAAAAGTATTGGGTTTATAGACCCACGTGGCATAAAAGAGGCTGGAAAGGTCACAGGGGCTAGATCTTGATGATCCTTATTTAAATATCACACCAAGGGCCAGGCAGACAGCTCACACCTCTAATCCCAGCACTTAGGGAGGCTGAAGCGAGAGGAATGCCAGAGCCCATGGGTTCAAGATCAGCCTGGGCAACTTGACGTGCTCTCATTTCTACAATAAATAAAAAAATTAGCAGGGCACAGTGGCGCGTTGGAAGGCTGAGTGGAAGGATGGCCTGAGTCCAGCAGGTCGCACTCGGGGGCCGTGAGTGTGCCATTTCACTCCAGCCTGAGTGACAGAGTGAGACAATGACTCAAAGCAAACAAATGAACAAGTAAATAAATAACACACCAGAAGTTTGGGTAACTGGAAGCAATTAAAGGACTTTAAGTAAGAGAGTGACACTATCAGATTTGCAATTTAACCCTAACAGCTTATAGGTAGAGTGAACTGGAACCAGGAAGTGGCTGAGATAATTAGACAAAACAGTATTTTACTGGCCGTGGAGGTAATGAAGAAGAAAAACGACCTGACAGGTGTTTAAGAATTATAATTGTCAGCATAAAGTGATTGGATATAGGGAACACGGGGAAGGAAGATCTGTGATGATTCTGAATTTTGACTTGAGGAATAGCTAGACACCACCATTCTTTTTTTTTTTTTTTTTTGAGTTGGAGTCTCACTCCGTTGCCCAGGCTGGAGTGCAGTCACACACTCATGGCCACCCCAGTTGGACTCCAGCGATCCTTCACCTCGGCCTTCTAAGTAGCCAGAACTACAGGCGGGCACTACCATGCCCGGCTAATTTTTGATTTATTGTAGAGAGGAGGTCTTGCCAAGTTGTGCAGGCTGGTCTTGAATCCGCAGGCTCAGGCAATCCACTCGCCTTGGCCTCCCAAAATGCTAGAATTACAGGCTGAGCCACCAAGCCTGGCCAGCACCGTTCTTAATTGAGATAAGGAACAACAGAGAAAGAAAATTTGGGGGAAAAGGTACTAAATTCAGTTTAGTACCTGTTGAAAAGTTTGGAGTGTTTTCAAGCAGTATGCTAGAAAATAAACATTTACCTCTTAATTTTCACAATGTCCCCCAAAGGTATTATAATCTGTTTTACAGACGGAGAAAAAAAAGTAGGTGGAAATATGTCAGGAGTTGAGGATTCAAGCCTGAACTGGAAAAAAGAGTTGGTGGGAATGGACAAGATAAAAGCTAAGAGGTGGGTACATTAGAAAGAACTGGAATGGGATAGTAAGAAAGAATGGTCAGCAAAAAAGAGATTGGTGAAAGTGGTATCATGGAAGTCCAAGGAGAAGCACACTTCTTTTTTGTTTTATTCCCACAGAATGCCTCTTACACAAGGAGACACACAATTTTGTTTTTGTTTGTTTTTTTTGAGTTAGAGTTTCACTATCACCCAGACTGGAGTGCAGTGGCCGCTCCCGGCCACCGCAGCCTCGACCTGCTGGGCTCCAGTGATCCTTCCACCTCAGTCTTCCGAGTAGCCGGAATTACAGGCATGTGCTACCATGCCCGGCTGATTTTTTGATTTATTGTAGGGATGAGGTCTCGCCTGCCCAGGTGGGTCTCGAACCCACAGGCTCAGGCAATCCACTCACCTCAGGCTCCCAAAGGCGAGGGATTACAGGCTGAGCCACCGAGCCCGGCGAGACACACAATTTTAGGGAAGCATAACTCAGTTTCAATTGAAGTTCAAGTAAGATACTGGCCAAAAACTTGCAAATGTTAATTAGGAAATCATTATTGGCAACTGGAGGAAAGTGGTAAGTAAGGGTGAAAGTCAGAGTGCAGAGCTGAGTACTAAAGGAGGTGAGGGGGTGTGATGCCTGGAAATACAAGCATGGACTACTTTTTCAAGGTGCTGTGGAACAGTGAACGTTCCAAAGCTTATATCCATAGCACCATAAATTCTTTTTTTTTTTTTTGAATTGGAGTCTCACTCTGTCGCCCAGGCTGGAAGTGCAGTGGCACACTCACCGCCACTGAAGCCTCGAACTTCTGGGCTCAGGCGATCCTTCCGCCTCACAAGCATTCACCATCACGCCCGGCTAATTTTTTTTTAAATTTATTGTATAGATGAGGTCTTGCCAAGTTGCCCAGACTGGCCTCAAACCCGTGGGCTAAGGCAGTCCTCTCATCTTGGCCTCCCAAAGTGCTGGGATTACAGGCATGAGCCACCGCGCCAAGTTGCACTGTACATTCTTAAAAGAATCAGTTTAACATCAAAGCTTACTGCTAAATACTTTGCAACTCACCGATGCTCAAGAAATATTCTTAAAGTTCATACATTTTCAAAGGTACAAATGATTTTGAGAAATGTCATAAATGATAGGCTGTCCATAGGCTCGAGACCAACCTCGGGTTCGAGACCAGCCTGGGGAACTTGGAGAGACCTCTACTCTACAATTAATCAAAAAATTAGCTGAGCATGGTGGCACATGCCTGTAGTTCCAGCGACTTGGAAAGCTGAGGCGAAAGGATCGCCTGAGCCCAGAAGTCAAGTTGAGGCTGCGGTAGCCGTGAGCGTGCCACTGCCCTCCAGCCTCGACGACAGAGGATGACCCCGACTCAAAAAAAAAATTACGAAAAAAGTTTCTCTCCTAATTGCCCCAGGTTTCTCCCTAGTTATCGCGCTGTGACGTTTGGTCCAAAGAGGAAGAAACATGGAAGAGCACATACTTTGGGGGGAAAAGACCTGGTTTAAGATGCCATCTCCACCATGTACCGGCCACGTGGTGAGTTATTTAAAG